AGGGAAGGAGGAGTGGGGGTGCGAGGGAAGGGGAGGGAAGGGAGGGCATACAAAGGTGAAGCGCGAGCGGACGCCTCCACAGATGGGTACGCCTCCTCTCTCCTTCATCCCCTTGGTGAACATTGTGATGCCGACGCAGCGGTCACACCTGCAGGTGGGTCAGCAGGAAGAACCGGCTAGCTCCTTGGTTGCTACCATGGCATGTCGCCGGGGTCTTTGCTCGGCTTCTCCCTACGGAACCCCTCGGGTGCCTCACCCTGCCACCATGATGAGCTCGCAATGCAGGCCGGCAGAGCAGAGCGGCACCATCCGATGCTCCTCCTTGCCATGCGATTGCATCCGATCCGAGCTTCTGAAGCCATGGGGTCAAGAGCGTCGCATACTGTTGGGGGAACTCACGATGACTCCACGTGCTTGTCGTTTGAAGACATCTCTGCCCCTGTACTTCTCGGCAGCAGATCCACACCTCTGCCAAAAATTTCAGAGGGAGGCAACCGACTGAGCAAACAGGCAGGATAAGCAATGACATTCAACGATGCCCTGACTATCTCCAACAGTTGCTCGCACACTATTGTAACACATCAACTCTTGATGATGATTCAGACAACCAACAACCTCATTCTCAACTGTGTACTGAGTAAAGGTGTACTGACAGGGCGGCAATCCTTGCATGCAGGTCATAGCTCCATTCACTACCGCTTCTTCCACCTCATACCCCCCTAGCACTACTCCATCATGATCTATCAATTCTAAGCCACATGAACTCGTCTCATCTCACCTGAGTGACCTATCACATCACCCCCTCTGCTCTCCCCCCCCTTCCCCTACCTCACATCATTTCCTCTCCTCTCCCAACCTCTACCCTTGCATCCCTCTGGCAATCTCTCTACTCCAGTCCCTTCTCCTCTGGCCACTCCACTCCTCTCCTCTCCTCTCCTCTCCTCTCCTCTCCTCTCCTCTCCTCTCCTCTCCTCTCCTCTCCTCTCCTCTCCTCTCCTCTCTCCTCCTCTCCTCTCCTCTCCTCTCCTCCTCCTCTCCTCTCCTCTCCTCTCCACTCCACTCCTCTCCTCTCCTCTCCACTCCTCTCCACTCCTCTCCTCTCCACTCCTCTCCTCTCCTCGCCTCTTCCACTTCCACCACCTCCAATTCCTCCTCCTTGCCTTTTTCCTTCCTCCTCCTCCTCCTCCTCCTCCTCCTCCTCCTCCCTCCTCACACTCCTCCTTCGTCCCCTCTCCTCTTGACACCACCCATCTCACAGGCGTATTTGTGCAACTCCACT